ATTAGGCCAGGACAACGTTAAAGGTAAGAGGCGACTGAAGACATATCAAAAATTTGCTGCATTTGAAGTGCTTCTGTCAAGAAAATGACTGAGCTGGTAATCCCTTCAGAAGGCGAAATTATGCCAGCAAAGAAAAAGACCAAAAAAAAAAAATGCAAAATGAACGCCATCGCAAATAAGATGATCACCGACGAGGTCGCACTAGTCAAAGAAACCGTAAAAGCTGTCAGCTACAGAACTGTTTCAAATACCTTAAATGCCAAAACTGTTATACAGTAAAGGAATCAAAAAAAAAAGATTATTCAAGTTTCCTGCTGCAATTCAAAACAAATATATTCAAATTTTTACATAGAGAGGTTCGCGTTCGACAGCCATTGGTAGCCTGTCGATCAAATCTTCCTGGAAGGCACGCGCTGCCAGCTGCTTGGCTCTGGTAACCGCGATTTTCATCGCTTCCAACACTCGCTCATTATTGGACATGTCAACTGAAAAAAAAAAACCAAGAATTCAAACAACGAAAATTTCAAATTATTCATAAGTTAAACAAAAAAAAAATCAAAACTATTTGAATTTAGCCGAATCTAATCGAAACAGCCATTCACTGAACGTCACAATGTTAAACGACTAATATGGAATTTGCCGGTGGCGTAGAAATTTTTCAACGGATCCACTCGAATACCTAGTGCTGTTAGCTCAAAAAATAGCGAAGAATGGAGAAGTTGCGCGGTGCACCGAAGGCACGAAAAGCAGCGATGGAATAGCAACTGATCAAATCATCAAGGGACTAAAAAAAATTTTTTAAAGCAGCAACGTTTAGAACAATCTCTGTGAGGGTTTCAAATGGAATAGTTGCTTAGGAGTTTACCTTTTGCAGCCGGTTTCGCAGTCATTTCCATTATTATCTTTTGCCGTTCCTCATCCTCGTCCTTCTGCGTTCGCAGTGCTGTTGTGCGACGCCACTTTTTTACCATTGCGTTTTTTTCCAGTATATCGAGACCATCGCCTACCTGAAAAACCCCAGACAAACTGAGAAACTGCTACAGAACATCAGTGGCACTACAGAGGCTCATTATATTCATTGAAAGTAAGATCTGTCTGCATACAAAAAAAAAATTGTCATCAGAAGGTGCAAGGGCAGTATAAAGGATTAAAAATTGCGTGTGGTTACTACTGCGATATTTAATATTATCAAGACCTGTCTGTCCGGGGTATCGTTCTATTTATCAGTGATGTTACTGGGATGCTCTCAATCACCCGGTGCAGCTGTGCCAGGGCCTTCTTCGACCTCGCAGTGCATGATGATGCTTAGGAATGTGTATGGAGTGGTTTGGTAAATAAACAAACAAACAATTAAACAGGGGATTATTACATATGTATTTGAAATTAAATAATTAAAAAGTTATCAGAAATACTTAAATACTTGGAAATCATTGCACTTCCGAGGAAAAACCACATATATTAAACACTTAAAAAAATTGCTAGGAACACTTAAATACTTGGAACTCCTTGCATTTCTGAGGAAAAACCACATATATTAAATACTTTAAAAAATGTTAGAGACACTTAAATACTTGAAATTCGTTGCATTTCTGAGGAAAAACCCACAAAAAAACCTAATTATTATCGTGCAAATGTGCTTGCAATTGACAGGTAAACAAACAAACAAACAAGTAAACAGTGGAAAAATTTGCTAATGAGCTGAATTTAAGGCATCGTTTTTAAAGCAATAATCTTTCTAGCATTCTCCTCTAGCAAAACATAAATTCTAGCAAAAATTCTTGTGAAAAAGTAAAAGGCAGCACGGGCCCCGAAGGTCCTGTGCAGTACGGGCCTCAAAGGCCTCAAAAAATTTAACGCAAAAAACAAAAAATAAGGTCAAAAAACTAAAAAAAAAACATAATAATAACAATTTATCAACATAATTCCTGCCGTAACCAGTGTTCTACTATGAACCAAACAAATTACACGAGGAGTTGGAGCAGCTATGGCCCCAGGTAATAAACTATCGAAGGGATACTACTGCCCACCGTTAACAAAAGCAGAAATAAATAATGTAAACGTAAGCAAAAAATGCAAAAAAAATTAATAAGATAAAAATGAAAAATGCCCTTTTATATGAGTTTCAAAAAATGAAAAATGCCCCCTCCCCCGTCCAGAAAATTTCTTAGAGGGACAAGCGGTGCTTAGCAGCATGAAGTTGAGCAATAACAGGTCTGTGATGCCCGTAGATGTCCAGGGCTGCACGCGCGCTCTACACTGGAGGAATCAACGTGCTGTAACACCAATGCCTTTCTTTTGTCAAGTGAATGAAAAGATGCCCAGAGATGACAGTGTCCCCGTACAAGTTTCTAAATCAGCATATATCCGATAGCTGAGGTGCGGAGCCACTCAGTGCTGTCTCGTTCGACTATTCCTGGAAATCAACCAAACCAGCAATGACTGCGCGATCTGCCTTTGTGGCCTTATATATATATATACAAAAGAAAGGACTTGCATCGCTGTCCAGCTCGAACTGATTGTATTCCTCGATCAGTGTTCGCCGTCGTCGCCCCATTGCACTTCTTTTTGCGCATATGCAAATTTGGCCTATGCAAATTTCACCATCGGAGCGTTGCTGTTGCCAACAACTCGGAACTGAAACTGTTTCGATAGAAGACTGCTTACACAATGCAGCTGAACCTGGAAAATTTGCGCAGAAACGTATAAAACATCTTCGAGAAGGGAAAACGGGTGGGAGAGCTGGGAGAGGCTGGAAGCCAGCC